AGACTGTAGACGTGGTAGACACTACAGTAGACGAGACTGTGGACGTGGCAGATACCGTTGTAGATGAAACCGTGGACGTTGTCGACAGCACAGTAGAGGAGACCGTGGACGTGGTAGATAACACAGTGGACCAGACCGTGGACGTTGCAGATGGCGTATTGGAGAACACCGTTGACACTGTAGATAAAACTGTGGGAGGTGTTGTTGATACCGTTGATGAAGTAGCGGGTACAGCAGTGAAAAATGTGATCGGAGCGCTAGGGTGAAGAAATATCTGCTTGGACACGCGAGAGATTTTGCTAGTTTGTATACAAAACAATCGCGGTAAATCACTCAGTTGTTAATTTCGTGGACGCGGAAGCTGGTAGATTTATTTGGTTGTAGTTCTTAACTACCGCATGCCTGTAGAGCCATGCTGCTGATCTCATACTCATGAAGACATGCATGGAACTTCCTTATTGAGCGTGAATTAGTTCTTTCCCACGCAATAATCTGCGAAATAACAAGATTTGTCTCGTGAATCGCGTACATCTACGTGTTGGAGCTTGAAAATATTGTAAATGCGGATTGCACGCCACGGACTGCGCGTCTTCACGTGCGCGCAGAAAGCTCATGAAGCGATAAGCCCAGAATCACAAGTGCGGCCTGCTCAGAGGTTATGTCCTGAAGCAAAATGCCAGCGATATCATGTCAAAAACGTTGATGTCCCATGTTTCACTTAGCGGATTCAAGGTGCTTGCTCATGGCTCTTACAAGTGGGACATCTAAATTTCGCCGGCCTGCGACAGAGGTGTCTATTAGTTTACAGTGATCTGTTCTACCCCTGTCTATATGCAGCCCTTGCGTCACGGTGTACCGCGTGCTGCTTCTCAATCAATAGCAGTATGATGGATCATCTCATCGTCACCTGGTGACGACTGCTGCGATCATCAACGCACTGACATTCTGATGCTTGCGAGCGGACGAATAAGTGCACAACACGGCGTTTGATGTGTGTTGACGAGCAATGTTCAAATGCACGCACTTGAAGTTTCTATCAGCACTGAAACCAACATGATGGCGCGCGCAACCTGCTGCTGCTGCCGTCCGCACCAGCCGTTGGTGTCCGTGGTGGTGTGGCCGGCGACGCGTGTGACGCAGGCCATCGTCAACACGGCAGCGGCGGCCCGCCGACAGCGGCCGGTCTTTCGCCCGCGCGTGACTTTCCCCGCACTTGCCGACTCCGCGGCTCACCGTTTTAGAACGAGCCTGGCTCTCGGGCGTTGGATCGATGTTTGGCGCTGTGACTCGGAGCATTCTAGTGTGCTGCTGTTGCGTGAATGGCCCGGCGTAAACCGGCGCGCATTGTGCTGATTCAGTCTGCCATGAAGCCGAAAACAATGCGCGGTTGTTTTATAGCGCTCCGGCACAGCCGACTAGCCGCGGGCCAGCGCCACTTAGCAAATGCCATATAAGGACAGTGAGGCCGAATTTCAACGGATTGCTCCGCTCAATGATGTCTCATGGCTACCTGAAGTAAATAAACATGTACTTGACACAGAATGAGGCGTTGCTGCTTTGTTTGTTCTACATCGTCTGATTAGGTGCGGGGTTGTGCAACACATTAACGCCTAACATACTTCTAATGTTGATGGCTCATGAACGCCTTGTAGATTTCGCCCGCTCACGGCGTCACGCTTGCATGACGCATTTTCATGTTGAAGTACTTGCCTACAAAGTATAAGGGGCTTAAGCCAGCAGAGGGAGCCGACGTCAGGTCGTAGTGTGGGCACCGCGGGAGGCCCGCCCCCGGAATGAAATGTGCCCAAGTACATGATGGTACGCGGGCTGGTATGAGGATTTCCCTAAGTGGCGCTTGGGTTTTTAACTGTCGGTTGCGGCGCGAGTCGACTTATGAGGCGAAGGGGGAAAATAGCGGAGCGCGGTGAGCGCTGGAACCCAGCATCTCCGTTAAAATTCACAGTAGCACCAAAAAGTATATTTGTGTGCTATTTAATGCACTTTAGCTGTATTTCTCACCAACAAGTTGCGCTCTCGCACAGCAGCTGCAAGAACGGAAATTGCCTTCTGGGAAAAATGGAGAGTGCGAAGCTTTTTGATTTTATCCACGTTCGTGTCATAGGTTTCTAAGTCGTAAGAAGTCGCACCAATGACGCAATTTCTATGAAATCGCATGCAGTGTGGCTTTCGTCAGGGCCAGAAATCACAAACCAAGACGCCTCACTCCCTGCTATTGAGTTGAAGAAACCAATAAAAACCAAAGATTACGTTGTAGAACTGCTTTCAATATCATCTGTGTATCAATCTTTTTTTTGCAAAATTCTTGTGATGGAAGCTAGGCGACAGTTCTAATTGAAGAAACTCGGATTAGGTTTTTTTCTTCAGCATGATGAGTTTAGACTTCTGATGATGACAGCAATCGACTTCAGTACATCAGGAGGTGCTGGTTAAACGACGTCATCATCCACCTCAGTCTCTGTCGACCCGGGATTGGTCCTCCGCAGCGTCGCCCAGCAGGAGGTCCAGTCATCCAGTTTGGATCGTGCTGAGATTGGTGGAGAGTGTTGCCCACGCCGCCGAGACGATCTCTGATACGTCACGCATGGACGCCGGCTCCCTGTGTGACACCACAGCCGCGGGTCCAGCTGGGTCGCATGGCTATACTCCTGAACGGTGCCACGCCGCCGAGACGATCTCTGATACGTCACGCATGGACGCCGGCTCCCTGTGCGACACTACAGCCGCGGGCCCAGCTGGGTCGCATGGCTATACTCCTGAACGGTCCCGCGCCGCCGAGACGATCTCTGATACGTCACGCATGGACGCCTGCTCCCTGTGCGACACCACAGCCGCGGGTCCAGCTGGGTCGCATGGCTGCACTCCTGAACGGTGCCACGCCGCCGAGACGATCTCTGATACGTCACGCATGGACGCCGGCTCTATGCGCGACACCACAGCCACGGGTCCAGCTGGGTCGCATGGCTATACTCCTGAACGGTCCCACGCCGCCGAGACGATCTCTGATACGTCACGCATGGACGCCGGCTCTATGCGCGACACCACAGCCATGGGTCCAGCTGGGTCGCACGGCTACACTCCTGAGCGGTCCGAAGACGCTACGATCAAACAGCCGCAGTCGATGGGAGCAGTAAGGAGGGAATGTCCATTATAGCGCATCCACTGGTCTCTGTAACTCGGCGCTCAGGTGGGATGAGCAAACGTCAGGTAGCCGCAAGACCGGTGAGCTCGCGCCAACCCCTACGTGCTTGATGAAATCCCTCATGAAGAAAATGAGGTCGGGCCCCGTCACCCAGGCAGACTTGTCGGCGATTTTGATGCACTCACTCGGCTTACCTGCATGCACCCACTTGTGGTACCTAGCCCGTGGGAAGGCGAACATCGGGGTTTTAGCGTTCACTATGGCGCACCGGCGAGCATCGTGACTAGCCTGCCGTGTTCCCCCAAGGTCACGAGGGGTTGTACGTTGGGAGGCCGGGGCTCCGGCACTTGTCTGGTATCTATATCGCAGAACATGGCAGCTCCTTTTCCCCGTTCCAGCTTTCAGCCAGATGTTATGCTCAGCCTGGGGGGTTGGTACCGATTCCAGGCGCCTGGCATAGGCGGATCCTAGGGGGGGGGGGGGGCACGGGGCCATGGCCCCCAAAAACTCTGAGAGTGTGTTTTGGCCCCCCAAAAACATTTCCAGAACTTCATAAAAGCTTCGTCTACTTACCGTCTGTTCTAACTTTGATGGTGCGGTATCAAGCATTTCTTTACGTTTCGGAAACAAAACGTCATGAAGAAAAGTTGGCGGCGATTGGGAAAAAAACAGAACGCATGTTGACGCGGCTTGGTCATACTTGGCGCAAACATCGTGTTTGATAAGTGCACTGGACCTCGGATCCCACACCAGCCAGCTCGCGACGAACGGTTGCCCCCTCCCTCCCCCCCCAAAAAAACAACTGCAGGCTAGATCCGCCCCGGCGCCGGACGTGCCGTGTCGGGACGGGCCCTGTTGCTATCCAGCTTATCATCTTGGCCGGAAGCAAGTCGTCGAGTTTCAGTTACCGCTGCCGCGACTGCCGCCGCGGGCGTCGACCGCCGACGGAGGACGCTGTCTGACGGGCGAACGAATCACCTGCAATACTCTGTAGAAATCTGCCAGTTGTGACGGTGAGCACAACTTGAAGCGCCAAGTTTTCACAATAAAGTCAATGCTTGCTTGGTATCACCGTTTTGACAGTATCTTCTTGGGTTGGAGGTTGATTATTGCCAGCATAATAGCATCAAACTCACTATGTCCAATCCTGAGATTCAAAGCCTTTCTTGCTTTAATGAAGTTATTTTGAATGTCATGTCCTGTTCAAGTCTGTTTCGACCTCGCCTTCGGGGGCGCCCAAAAGGCACTTCAAATCTGGAAGCACCCAGAGAGGGGCGTCAGCCCGGTTGGTACCAGGCATCCCTCTAGTGCAGTCTAAAGCACAAGAACGTAGAAACGCGTATATGAACGCCAAGAGCACATGCCATTGGAAATCTTAAGTGTCCCCCACCTCAGGGGACGCGTCCTCTATCCGTGCTGGGTGCCGCTATCAGTTGTGAGAAACGTTATAGAACACAGCACTGGAACAAAGGCAAGTTGAAGAAATGCCCATAAATGCTGTCATCGGCGCCTTAGAGCGGGCACAAGATAGACGCTTTTCCTTTCCGATCAGATGGAAGGGGTAGGTGGCGGGGCGGGCGGGCACGTGCCTCCCAGGCATCGCTCTCTGGATTCGTCCTTGGCAGAGTATTAAAATAAATATCGTCAACATTAGGGAGCCCCTTCTCCCCCCCCCCCCCCTTCTCCTCACACGACGCCGTCCCCGGACCGCGGCGCCGCTTGCCCGTCCTCCGACCCCATCCGTCTGATCTCCGTATTTGAGAACCCCTGCCTTTCGTCATCGTTGCAAACGGCCGAGCAGCGGCGTTCGAAACCGACTGCAGTTCGTTGCAAGCCCCACAGAGGCTCGATGGCGTCGCAGGCTACGCGGGGGCCGCTGGTGCTCCGGCGGCCACCCTCTGCCACGTCGGGATCGCCCGCATACAGCTAAGTGTCCTCTCTTCACGTGCGGACGCTTATCAGTTGTAGAGGTACGGTTATCGGAACCGGTTGAAGCGATTCTCAGCGCTCCTGATTTGATTGCACTACTGGCATGTGTTGCGAGATTAGCTGGGTCCTCGAAGGACGACGTGGGGCTCTCAACGAGCAAACACGATCTTATTATCGGGATGACTGCTGATATTATCGCTTATGACTTACCTTGAACGAATAACCCTCTCCTAGTTAATGAGTGGTAAAGTATTTAGGCCACCTTGATTTAGGTCCACTCCTGAAACCGTTGGTTTCTTTGCTCTCCATACGTAAAAATTTGATCTTGCCACAGACAAATCCATCACGTGATATGTTTTTGTTGTTCCATCATATTGTTTCACGCTCCTAATTGATCGTGAGACATTTCCATTGTTTCGTGCTTTCTCTTTCTTGCTTGCATTACATTGCTACGGATATTGGTGACATGTAAAAACGGTGACTCGTTGTTAAAAACTGAAAATCGAATAGGATCGGTGCGCAATTTTGAATTTACTTCTGACATTCGTTCGTTCGGCCTTAGTCCATTTCTTTAATAGTCCTCTCCCCCGATACTCTTGCCGCGATTGGATGGTGACAACGAAGCAATTCCGCGCGATGACATTGGCTCCCAATCTGCCTTCACCTCCGCCACATCGTCAAATGGCGACGCTCCGTTTTCAATCGACGGCAACGCCCAGCGCTCGCATCCGACCGCGCGCTCGCATCCGACCGGACCACAGTGCTCCGCCGGACGCTGCGCCCAAGGTCAGGCGCCGAGCCGGCGCCCCGCTGCAGACCCCCGTGTGAAGCAGCCAGCACCCCGGCCCCGTCATGCGGTCTGCCCGCTCCCCACGCTCTCCCACTCAATGTCCATTGAAAAGAATGGTCGATGCAATATTTTGTAAGTGGTTGAGGCGGAACATGAACGTTGGATAGTCTAGTGGACAGGGCTGAGCGTTACCAGCATCTGTTCTAGGCTGACGTAAGCACGCCCTGCGTCGAGTTGCATACGCCAGCGGGTGACCCCTGCACCCAGGCGTTCTGGCTCGGGTCTGTTCCACCCATCTGATGCACGGTCACGTGGCTACGCTGGTAGCGCTGCTGGGCGGAACAATGATAGGCCGCCATTAAAGAATATAATAAATAAACATAGCCGTAGCGCCACAGCAAGAAGTTTCTAGCGAGGCAATGGCCAGAAAACGGACAATAGAGAGTGCCGTTGAGTCAACAGATAGCGGCGAGCCGCGACAGCCTCGGCCCCTCCGTACCGCGCCCACCGAGCCGGTTTTTACCGGCACCGGCTGTTTATCAGCCGGAGCTCGCTGCATGTGGGTCGGCGCGGAGGCTCCCAAACCGTCGCGGTCGGGGCCGGCCGCCGCTCGGCCGCCCCGACGCCTGGTGGCGCCGCCGCCATCTCACCGGGCCAGAACAGGGGTCAGACGGGCAGACGGGCCGCGCTTTACCCCAGATATCGTTGTTTGCGGAGCAATGTGTACACTTGGAACATCGGTTACGTCACACGGCCAGGAACGATAACCGCACTGCAGGCAACAGTGATGTCCAGCTTTTCATATCTAGAGGCGTTGATCCTCATCGCCGATGTGTTCCGCCGTGCCTTCTGTGCTTCGACGCGGATGAGCTCATGGTGCTGTCCGGTGGACGGCCCACTCGTACCCAGCGGTGGATGGTCCACCCTCCCGACTGGCGCAGCTCGCGCCATCTGAGGCCGATGAGCAGGCGGCGTCGTGCGCGTTACATCAGATACTCCTTGATCAGCTCCTTCGCTGTGTGTTCAAGACAGAGCGGCCAGCCTTCGCTGAGGGACCGTGCTGGAACTTCTTCTTACAGACGGGGCCTGTGTCTTGGACGCGCGCCGCTGTCGGACGCGTCTAGTGACCTACGTGCTCGGATGCTGCCAAGATTTTTAGAGGCAGTGTCATTACTTTGTCTTTATGTTGAGTTTGAGCTGGGCTGAATTTTCGTTGCAGCTAAAATCGCAGATATTGTGATGCAAGCAGACCTTTAGGAGAATTGCCCGGATAGTAGCAAAACTCAGAGTAAACCAGAAATAGCCATGCTACATTAACATATGATTTCGAGCACTCGTCATGATAATCCAAGGGCGTCACATCAAATCCATCGCGATCCCTCACAGATTGCAACTGTCGGTCGTGGCAGAGCCAGATGTAACTCGCCTGTTTACTCGTCCTACGTCTTCTCCCTGAGAAACACAGTTTTCACCGCAGGCGGTGGCTATCAGTGTGACTCAGGTGCCGAACACGGGTTCAGAATGACGGACGAAACCTGAGATCATGACTGGCAGTGGGCGTGCGACATGAAGTGCGGCATTGGCTTACCGAGCCTTTGCAGGCCCGTAAGGCCTGTGGCACGTCTGCCACTACCGGATAACACTTCCAGAGCAGCGCCATCCGGCTGCAGCATACACAGATGTGGCCTATCACCATAGCGCGTGTTCGAGCACGCGGGGCGGGCGACGCTGATCTTCGTAGTGGGCACAGGGCGTGTACCTGCTACAGCGGCGAGCGGTTCTCAAATGGTGCCGACAGCTCTCGAGCGCAGTGAGGGTGCAATGCTGGTGTGATCTGCCGTCGCTGACACTTCCTGAGCTTGTGTAGGTAAACGTACGTTGCATGGACGTGCGCACCAAGCTGTTGGCGAACGCCGGTCGGTGGCAGCGGAGCACTCGCCAGGCCAAAATACTAATAAAGCTTAGAACGGCATGACATATGCTACGTAAAACACGCATACAAGTGCGAGCTCCAGTTTCAAAACGCATTAGATGACGCATGGATAGTCACAATCCTACACAGAGGACGCTTGACGCTTCGAGAGGCGGAATAAAACGTAGCTTACGTGGGATAACAGGTTCATAAACACTCTTATGGTTAGAAGTAGGAATAACGACACATGCTTGCGCCCGACATACATGGCGTGTGCGAAGTATTTTAAGCACACGGTTGACCGCGTTACTACTATAAGCTTGCAATTACAGTCATGCCGTCTCTACCTAACTGACAATGGCGCGGCAAGGATGGACTCAAGGCTTTTCTGCCGCAATGAACAAGTATAACACCCACTCGTCGAAATACCAGGATATCCAGCCTCTCTCACCACCTCACCTGACCTTACCTCATCACCACACTTGGCCTCGCCTCATCATCTCACCTGACCTCACCTCATCACGCTTGACCTCATCTCACCACATCCGCTGACCTCCGCCATCACAATCGCAGACAGGGCAGCCGGCGGCCGGCAACAACATGCCGCGGCTGCATATGTCCGGACCAGGCAAGGGATGACAGCATGCCCAAACACAAGCTGAACTGCCGATAGGAAAGAGGCGACATGGCGGAGAGGTGCACACTCCTATCTAAAACACCAGACCCGTTACACGCTTGTGGTCCGCCCAGCCACGGTTACATGCGGTGTCAACCACATTCCCGAAACGTCATCCATATTGCAGAGTTTGCAGGGTTTGTAGCGTTTGATGTCTTGCTTGGCGTCCCGATGCATTGCTTTTCGGTCGTCTCGTGATTGCAGCATTGTATTTTCCCACCGGATGCGCGGTCGTGCTTATTTCGTGGTGCGAGATTTTCAGATTGCTTATTCGTGTTGCCAGCTTGCCCATATCGTTTTTTCCCTGTGTGGTTATCTTTCTGGATGCAATCGCATTTTTCCAACGGCTGCGAGCGATGCTTGCGTTCTGGCACAGCTATGGAAGTCTTTCAGTACCAGACCATTTTCTTCGTGCCAACCAGAGGGCGGGCTCTTGCTGAGCTGATTTCTCCACCGTTCATGCGTGAGCCGTATCACTATTACGGCTAAATGTCGTCATCCCTCGCCGCTTGCTGGCTGGCCGCTACTCGTCAAGAAAACGAAACCCATCTTCTTCATTTTAATCACAAGCTGTTTTCTACGCCAACGTGGAGAGAATGCGCGCACTTCACTTCACCCAGCTGTCCTTTGCCATTTTCAGCAGTCACTTCAAACGTCGTTACGTTGGGCCAGCCGGTGCACGCCTCGTGTCATTCGTGGATGGTACCCGACGGACTGCGCCTTGCTGACGGGCCAAACTGTCTCTTGCCGCGGAGACGGGGCATGCCGCGTGGCTGACTGAGCCGATCAGGCCACCGTGGTGGCGGTAGGTCGGTGTGACCTGGTAACATCGTGACCTGTGCCCTTGATGTTGCCAATATTAGTGGTGGGTCGGCTGAGCCAGCTCAGTAGTGATGCAGTCTTCGGGGAATTATGGCAGCGTCTAGTCGCGCTGTCCTGCGTTGTTGGGGTCACGGCCTTGATTGGTGTGCGACGCTTGATGCCCAAAAATGGGAGTCGATCTGCTGCTTTTCTGTGGTCGCTGCGCACTGGTTGGTGGCGTTTAGTTGATTGGCATGGGGGAGGGGCACACGGGTGCACACACGCACACACACGCACGTGTCTTTATGATAATAGATGCTACGATCATGCACACATGATCATAAACGCATACAGGCGACATGCTTGTGTGTGACGCTTCACCTTCGTCACCAGCGTTCTTCTTCCCCACTACTGCCCATGAAAAATGTGCGTGAAAGGGTTGTCTATATTCGGCCACAAGATACTCCGACTCGCCCGCGTTGTGATGCTATGCAGGGTCACGACCCTGGTCGTGGTCGGACCTCGCAGCCACAGCCGCAGCCAGCCACATTCCTGGCAAAGGCAGGCTACAGCCGCGGCAGTCGCAGCAGGCCGTGCACGAGATTATGGCTGTGATCACTCATGGTTCAACGTCTAACGTCGTGTTGTCCAAATCTGCCGATAGTGGTGACGAGGGCGTCGTTTGATACCGCGTACTCGCATCGGAAGTGCACCACTTCCGCTCTCGGCCACCAGCGCGCAAGCAGCATGAGTCAAAACACCCGCACAGCAGCGGCCAACCACCTGCCGACTGAACGGCGGGGGTCAGTGACGGCCGCATCACGACGGACAGACATCTTCGGTTGGAGGGGCTCGCTCTGACCTCCGTGCGGGACGTCACATGTGTGATACTCGTGGCGCACGTTAAACGGCATTTTGAGATCTGTTTGGCATTGTCTGTGAGTTTCTCATCGTCCTCTTGATATGCCATGTCTCACTGCTTTTACATATTTTCGGAGCTCCATGGCACGGCTGTACAGTTCGATACAATTTGCCCGCCTCAACTTTCAATATTTCCTCAGTACCGCACGCAACAGGAAATGTTCATCACCATGCCTCCTTGCACGTTGCACACAGGGAACTGGCCACCATGGCAATTATTCAGACCACGGTCACAACGCATAGGTGTGTCATCTTCATTGTGTCATTCACGTTTGCCCCGGTGGGTGACTGGCGACTGCGTTGCGCACGATAGCTCTCTGTGTCGGGGTCTCACGATGACCAGCGCCCTAGTGGCAGCAGACCCACCGCTTCACACATGTTCGACCGCCCAAGGACTGCCCACGGAGTGTGACGGGTCCATGTGGCCAATCGAAGAACGCCGCCCGGCGCCGCGCCGCTGGCGTCGTTGTGTTGTCTGCTAATGTGTGATGCAGACATCTGAGACAGACATCAGCCGCTCGGCAGACATCATCCAGCGCGAGTAACCCCGAGTCACCTGGGGTAACTGATGAGGGCGGGCTTCGATCAGCTTCCGCACTGACTCACGCCATGACGTGATACAGCTCGCAGGCGAGCGCCGAGACACGCGCGCCACCTGATAGCGCTATCGTGGCGACCTTATCGCCGTAAAACGGAGACGGCTGAGCAGCGTCTTGCAGACGCACCATGGCGCGCTCGCAGGAAAGTGCTGCCGCTCTGGCGCTCATGCTCACGTCGGTGCTGGTGATGTGCCCGACCGAGGCCTTCAACGTGGACGTGGTGCACCCGGTGATCTTCCGGGGGCCGGTGACGGATCCGGCCGGCCTCCGGTCGCGTGCCGACACCTACTTCGGCTTTGCGGTGGGTCTGGCCGGCGGCAGCGGCGCCGCCGGTCCGGAGCTGGTGGTCGGAGCGCCGCGAGCCAACTCCACGTTGGGAAGGAACCCGCTGGACCGCGTGCTGGAGCCGGGCGCGCTGTTCAAGTGTCCGCTGCGCCGCGGCGCTCGCTGCCAGGAGGTGCTCGTCGACCCTACCGGCAACCAGCCAGGACCCGGGTTCCGTTACACCGACCTGAAAAACCAGAGCTGGCTGGGCGGCGCGCTGGATGTGGAGGCCGGCAGTGGCGGCCGACTCGCCGTCTGCTCGCACCGCTGGCGCAACATCAAGTACTCGTCCCACTACTTCGGAAACGGCGCCTGCTACCAGGCGGACGGGCGGGCCAGCCAGGTGCCGTTCCACAAGTTCGTGCCGCTGTTCGACTCCACCAAGCAGAACATCCGACTGCCGGAGACGGGCGCGAACAAGCGCTACTACTACTACGCCTACGGCCAAGCGGGGACGTCCGTGCACTTTCCGGCGAACGGGCATGAGCTGGTGATGGGCGCGCCGGGCGTCCTGGACTGGACCGGTACGCTGGTCCGATACAGCGACTTTGACCGCTCCGGCTCGGGCGGCAACAGTCGGCGGCGGCGCCAGCTCCAGCCGCTCGGCAACCTGCTCGTGCCGAACCCCGCGCCGACCCCCCAGCTCCGGCCCTACGACTACCTGGGGTACTCGGTCGGCTCCGGCAGGTTCTTCAGCAGCTCTGATGGCACGCTGTACCTGTCCGGCGCGCCGCGCGCCGCCGGCGGCAAAGGTAAAGTGTTCCTGATCGACTTCCCGGCCAACGAGTACGAGTCGTACGAGGTGCTTGGCGAGTGGGTTGGGTCCAGTCTCGGCGAGTATTTCGGCGCGGCCGTGCTCGCCGCGGACCTGAACGGCGACGGCCTCAGCGACGTGGTAGTGGGCGCGCCCATGTTCGGCAGCGGCAGCGCGCCCGAGCAGGGTCGCGTCCACGTGTTCCTGAACCTAGACGACGGCCTCTTCCGGCCCGTCTCGCGGCCGCTCGTCGGCGCCGGCGCGGCGCGCGCCCGCTTCGGCACGGCGCTGGCGCCGCTCGGCGACCTCGACCGTGACGGCTTCGCCGACCTGGCCGTGGGCGCGCCGTACGAGGACGACGGCCGCGGCGCCGTGTACGTCTTCCGCGGCGGGCCGGGCGACTTCGGCACCACGCCGTCGCAGAGGATCGCCGCCCGGGACCTGAGCGGGGCGCTGCGCGGCTTCGGCGTCAGCGTCTCGCGCGGCGTGGACGTCGACGGGAACGGCTACCCGGACCTGGCGGTGGGCTCCCACGCCAGCGGCGACGCCGTGCTGCTGCGCAGCCGGCCCGTCGTCGAGTTCGTGGCGTCGCTCACGGCCGAGCCCAACAAGCTGGAGACGTCCACCACTGAGTTTGGCGTGCATGCCTGCCTGTCGTACCGCGGCGAGTCCGTCCCACCGAAGCTGGACGTCACCGTCACGCTGAAGGTCGAGTCGTTTCATGCGCAGAGTGCAATTCTGGTGGATGACCAATATCAGACCTCGGTGACCTTTCCCTGGGAGATCAGGAAGGAGAAGAACATGTGCCGGTCCTTTGCTGTCGGCATTCGGTCTCAAGGTTTGATTGATTATACTAAGCCCGTCCAGATGAGCATGAGGTATGCCTTGCTGTCTGCAGATGACAAGAAACCTGGAGAAGACGCAACATTCGTTGATACCGATACAAGTGCGCGGGCTGGAAGAAGAAAGCGCCAGGTGGTTTTCCCATCGAACCTAAAGCAGATTGACGATTTCTGCACTTCGTGCCCGGTGCCGAACCTCAACATGGCCAACCAGCGCCGGCTAATGCTGAGTGTCCCCTTCTCGGTCGGCTGCGGCGAGGACGCTGTCTGCGACACCGACCTCAAGCTATCCTACAAGTTTGACGGCCTCTCCGACCGCAAGTACGTGATCGGGTCCACCCCGACGCTGACGCTGGAGCTTCAGCTGGAGAACGGCGCCGAGCCAGCGTCGCTGCCGACCCTGGCCGTGGACATTCCGAGCCCGCTGAGCCTCGTCCGCGTGCCGCCCTCCTGCCAGGAGCGCAATCCGGGACAACACGACCGAGTCAGTTCTCTCCTGCAGCGTCCAGCCGCATCCCTTCTACAGGGACTCCCATTACAAGCTGAAGCTCTTGCTTGACACGTCCGAACTCACCGCGGACGTCAGGAAGCTTGGTTTCAACGTGTCAGTCGCCTCCACCGGCGTCGAGATCAACCCGCGAGATAACGTGGCCAACATCACGCTTGGTCTCGTCAGTCAGGCCGACATGGAGATTCGAGGGTCGTCGGAGCAGGAGCAGGTGTTCTACGACAAGGAAGAGGACAGGGCGCCGGAGGACAGAGGTCAGCCCAACTACGTCGCCGTCCGCCACATGTACCAGATCCTGAAATACCTGCCGACGCCTGTGAAGGCCGTCGCCATTTCGTTTCTGGTGCCGGTGAACTTCACTAGCGGTGACGAGGAGGTCAACTTCCTGCAGATGCACCAGCCGGCAGCGCGGGTGGACGGCCAGCCGTTCCGCTGCTCCGTTCAGGACGGCGCGCTGCTCCAGCTTAGCGAGGACGCGTCCAGAGAGCCAGACACAGCGGGCCGCCGGCGTCGTGAGGCGGAGGTCCCGGCCGCCGAGCCGCCCGCCGTCTCCGACGCCCACCTGATCAACTGCACGCGCGGCTCGCCCGTGCGCTGCGCGCTGCTCACGTGCCAGCCGCTTCCCTTCCTGGCGGCCTCGACGCGTGCGACCGTCACGCTTGACATGCGGCTCGACGTGCGGGCGCTGCGGCCGCTGCTGGCCGGTGGCGACCGCGCCACACTGGCCACTCAGGGCCTCGTGCAGCTCTCGGAGGGGGCCGGCGTCGCGCCGGAGGTGAACCGGCGCCCGGACTGGGCCAACGTCCAAACGCCGCTGCTGCCGTCGACGCTCGAGCCGGAGCCGATCGCCGCCTGGATCATCGTGGTGTCGGTGCTGGCGGCGCTGGCCCTGCTGGCGCTGCTCTCGTACCTGATGTACCGCGCTGGTTTCTTCCGCCGCGCGAAGCGTGACCAGCTGCTGGAGGAGCGCGGGGACGCTGAGCGCGACGACAACCTTTCCGGGCTCGCCGAAGCAGCTCCGTTACGGTCCGGTGGCCCACCCGAGGACGAATCGTGACGGGGACTCGTGCGAGAGCGCAGGACTTGCCCTGTGAACGTGGTGGAGGGAGGCTCCGACGTGCTGCGGGGCGTCCGATGAGGGCGTGCCGCGAAACGGCTGTGACGGTGGGACGTGTCTTGCGACAACTGGACGCTGGGAGGCGCCGCGGCTGAATCTATAAACACACAATATTCTGCCGACTAGCGCATACCTGCGTGAATACGTGACATTTTGGCAATGCATCAACACTTTCAGAGACAGGCTCAATCTTTGGCACGGTGCCACACACCGGCAAGTGCATGCTGGTCGTGGTGTGCATTGAGTGGTGATATCTGGTGTTGAATACGTGGGTTCGAGATATGTGCTGCTGATCTACCACGGTCAGCAGTTATGAAGGATAACCTTTCGCATCTAGTCTTCTTGCGATGAACCTGCTGACGGAGCATGAGGACGGCGTTTTGCGACGCAGTGGCACTCATTCGCTTTTTGTAGAATATTGTATGATTACTCTGTGTTACGTGCAGAAACCCCCTATGCCTTACGTTATGACGACGGAACATTTTGGCAATACATCAACACATGTACAGCTTTACTCTTGACAACAAAAGCACATCACTGACAATATGCAGCTCAGTCTCATGTCGCTTCATTCGCAGGTCCCATGTCGGTGCCACTCCTAGCACCGCCCGGAGCCGTGCGCGCGGCCACCGACCTGTGCTCGGAAACATGACGTCATTGCCTAGACAGACCATCGTCACTTCCGTCCTCCGATGACCAGCACAGATGGTAGACTCATTTCGATAACACTGAACAAACAGTATGACAACCGGATACGATCGTGAACTCCGCATCCCAGGAACTGCTGTGAGACAGACTGCATTGGAGTTCGCTCATACTTGCGCTCCCACAACCAAAGAGTTCGCTCATACTCCCGCTCCCACAACCAAAGAGTTAGCTCATACTCCCGCTCCCACAACCAAAGAGTTCGCCCATACTTGCGCTCCCACAACCAAGGAGTTCGCCCATACTTCCGCTCCCACAACCAAGGAGTTCGCCCATACTTCCGCTCCCACAACCAAAGAGCTAGCTCATACTCCCGCTCCCACAACCAAAGAGTTCGCCCATACTTGCGCTCCCACAACCAAGGAATTCGCCCATACTTCCGCTCCCACAACCAAGGAGTTCGCCCATACTTCCGCTCCCACAACCAAGGAGTTCGCCCATACTTCCGCTCCCACAACCAAAGAGTTAGCTCATACTCCCGCTCCCACAACCAAAGAGTTCGCCCATACTTGCGCTCCCACAACCAAGGAGTTCGCCCATACTTCCGCTCCCACAACCAAGGAGTTCGCCCATACTTCCGCTCCCACAACCAAGGAGTTCGCCCATACTCCCGCTCCCACAACCAAAGAGTTCGCCCATACTTCCGCTCCCACAACCAAGGAGTTTGCCCATACTTCCGCTCCCACAACCCCACAAGCCCAGCCAATGGGCAACAGGCTCGCAAACAACGTGTCCAATGCATACGAGGCTTACTGACAGCTTGAACATTTGTTTTCCGATAATCTCGGAGTCACAGATTACGCGCGAAACGCTGTCTCACTTTGGCGAATGGCTGCTTGCTAGTATGGACGTCTGGTTGTAACTCTGAGAGGCATTGCTGTTGTGAAGGGCTGCCGTCATCAATTCGAATTCAAATAAGTACGCAACGCTCTACTCAGGTGGCCGTGCCGGCCCGGCAAGGCCGGCACGGCCAGCTGAGCAAAATCGCCCAACGCTGCCTGGGCTTCCCGCGTGAAAGGCAAGGAATCCCGACCAGCGGCTCCCCTTGAAAACATCCTGTGCGTCCCCTGGGACCACACAGGTTGCGTAGGTATCGTGCCGGTCTGACTTTGCTGTCCGCCACTTGGTGACAAAGGCAAGAGCCGGGTCGGAGACCGCAGCGTCCTCAACTACTCGTCCTGGCTCTCCAAACGCACTTCGTGCGCCATGTCCACCTGAGGCAGCGCTGCCGGATTCCCTACGTACTCAACCATCGGGACTGTCTGGCGGCGGGATAGGTTTCCCTTGATTATTTTCGCGATATCAGCTACCGTCCGTGGAAGATACGCTTCCGTCGTCAATTCTCCCGAGTACCCCTTGACCGCCATCCCGTGCACCTCCACATTCGGAAGTGCCGATACCCATTGTAACACCGCTTCGCGGGTCACATGGGAACTCGCGTTGTCCAGGAAGATCACCTGTGACGAGGTCATATCCGTCATCTCTCCTAGAAACACTTAGACTCTCGAGTATGAGAGTTTTACCGGCTGTCGTCGGGCCGTACAGGAGTAACATTTATTCCTTCACAGAAAACATATGATGTACATTCACATAAATCAGCTCATTATCTTGGTACCGGTCTACACCTTCAGGCTTATGCAAACTATGTATAGGTATATAACCCACTACCCTATTCGTACCTAAACGCGCAACACATTCCAATTTAGTAGTTACAAAACAACGAATATACGTCTTTACCTTAGGATCCAATTGCTTAACGCGCAAGTACACCGCGCCCACATACAAATTACGTTTCGGAGTAGGCGCAGGCAAATCATCAACAGGTGCATCAGGATTATAAAATCTCGAATAATAAGGAAATACAGACTGATCCTTAAACTGCCATTGGTACCACCGATCCTTCAAAGGACCAATAGAAAAAGACTTATGATCTGGTCCCTGTATCACACCACGCTTATTAAAACACTGCGTAGTAAGCGCTTCAGTCGCCACTAATTTCTTCCCCTTCCGATCCACCATCTTCTTTGATAAATCAGTGGTAGGTAACGCTCCATCCTTCTCCAAATACTTAAATTGATCTTCTCCTTTATAGGTACAACCAGGGATAACGCCGGCTGTATCGGTAGCCCACTCCAGTTCAGCCTGCGGCGTCTCCATTCTCTGAGTAGTCGCAGTAGCACCAGTTGTAGATTTGTAGTAGACCAGTTATAGCACCAGTTGTCGAAACCACGGCATTCCGAAATCGTCATGGTAGCACTAATAAACTTCACTCCAAAATTTACAGTATACCTATTATAAGTATCCTCTTCATTCGTATCCACACCTAAAGATTCTTCACCATTCTTATAACTACCAGCAAGCGTATAGCGCCGAATTTCTTGTATAGGCAAGACATAGTATTTTCCAAGATCCAGCGGTTCCAACAACAAATCATTCACAGTTGTCACAGTAAACGTCTGCATAGGCTCGAGGCCCTGGTGCGTAGACAACACGTCGTAGGCTCCAATTTGCCCCGTTTCATGTTCATTGTCTTCTTGTTCACTCCGCATCGTCGCCGACCGCTTCGCCCTCGTCTCGGAGGAGCCAGGTCCTAAGGCTGGTCCGGCCTGAAGAAGACGAGAACGAGAATTAGCAAGAGTTTTCACGAGAGGAGGAGAACCAAGCTTTTTAAGATTTTTTTACGAGAGGAGGAGGAGCCGACTTACTCTCTTCAGCTTACGAGTACGCACAAACTCGTCCATGTCCACACACCAACTGACCTGTGATACGGATGATCTCTCCATTTATAGCCTCGGCGTACAGCAGATAAAGTCCCCCCCCCCCCCCCCCAGTCTTCCGGCTGAATCTTGGAAGGCGGCTCCGGGATGGCCCACGTAGACCGCCGAGCTCCACAGGAGCGCACCTCCAGTTTGAACTCGAAAGTGCGGGTGCGGGACTGGATTGCATCACGGTCTGCGTCAGAGCAGAAACCTGCCAGACGGTTGTTCGTGGACGCAAAAAAAGAACACGTCCCAACACGTCAGGCGTGTTCTAATACTTGACAGCGACGTGCATCTGCTCCCGCCGAGAAGTTTCTTAAAGTCATCCTTGTTCGCGTCCAAAATGGTGATTTCTTCCATGACGGCGAGATGAGCGTCCAGGAGTTGCGCCAGGTAGAAGGGCGAGTTGGCGTTGATAGCAGACAGCTTGGTCGGCTCCTTCAGACGCAGAAGGCTTTCCAGGATCAGCGTCTTGCCAGTGGTCGTCTTGCCGCACAGCAGCATGGTATTGACCTTCTGCAGGAGACTGTCGGCGATAACCTCGACCCAAGCAAGGAAATGGACAAGGTTGATTTGGTTTCGCTTGAAAAGCAACTCCAGCCACGCCTGATTGTCCGAGAGGGGGTGCACATTCAGGTCCAGATACTCGTCACAGAAAGCTTCCCAGAAAGGCTGATTGCGCAGCCTTTCCATACGTTTGGTGTGGTGGTAGCTCAGAATAGTCCTGGCACGATCCTTGAAAGCATGGGACAGAGCATACAGCTCCTTAAATTCCTCTTGGCTGATAGCCCGAAGAAATCTACTTAGACTCGTGACCTCATAACGCTTGATGAGGCGCTCAATGAAATCAACCTCATTTTCGGGGGCAATTTGACGTTTCCGACGGTTTCGCTCTCCCTCAGCCGAACGATGGTCTGCATCACCCACATTGGGAATACACCTAGCAGGGACCTTACCATCTCCCTGATCAGCACCACAACTTACGAGGTGCTCGCAGAGCCGTTTGACGAAGCGGACGGAGGGGTGCGAAAGACTATATAGCTTAAGGACAGAAGGTCCGAACCTGGCAAGGTACACCACCCACCTGGTAGCACTGCTGACACGCTGGTAAGTAAGGAGGAGTCGGTCTGAGGCTGATTTGAAGAGACCGAGGCGGCCTGCAATCCATTTGAGGACACGGGATTTGTTCTGGCCTGGGTCTGGGAAGCTGATGTGGGACTGTCCGCTAGGTCCGACATCATCGCCTCCAGGTCCGCTGCCGTCATTGCTGCCTGCATGATAGACGACGATAGCGTTCCATCGGCCTCCAAAGTCATCGCGGACGTCGCCTGGGACGATGACGGTGCAGAGCTTGACGCCTCGTTCCTCGGCGTAGAACTCGTGGAGGGCGGCGTTACCCTCTCCTGGCACTCCATCGTCAGCTGGTACGACTCCGCGTCCATCAGGTCGATCTCCCACGCGGACTGAGGAGCTACGGGAACCACTACGAGACCTCCCGATGATTGGGCTCGCGGGACCTTCCCGCGACGACTCCAATTCTCCTTCAGGAACAGCGACGGGTCCTTGCGGTTCCTCGGATGGTACTTCTCTTCGCTCAGCGACCCCGAGTACCACCGTATCCCGGTCCAGTGGATGTTCACCTGGGGCAACGTGCTCACCAACTGGAGCACTGCTTCTCTGGTTGTGAAACTCGTTACGTTGTTCAGGTTCAGCTGGAAACTCACGTAACCCGAACGCATCCCCACTTGAAACAACTGCAGCGTCGGGAACACCTCCACCAGCCTGCTCCGTCGGCGGCACTGGTAGGAATGTCTTCAAATGCTGGAAGATGTTGTTCCCAACTGTCGTCGTGAAGCAGATGATGTAGGTCCGCTGGTGTAGAATGACCTCCTGGTTGGTCCCGCCCTTCTTGAAAAACACCGGATCCACTCTCGCTATGGGGTACGTCGTGATCTCCTTTCTGAAACAGATGATGAAGAACCTTAAAATTTAAGACTTTTTAGCAGATGAACACATAAACACAAGTCCTCCTCTCCCAAAAAATCAAAATTAAGACCCTCTTCACTTACCTGCATGCTGGACAGCGACTGAAGACTGATGTTAACACCACGACGTCTGGATCAACAACGACAAAATTCAATACGTGCTCATCCGTCCTCAGCTCGTGAACGTTATCACGTGACGCTTCTTCCGGGGGGGGGGGGGGGGGCGCCTGAGTGCGTGCGCACTCACCCAACGCACGTTGGGGGCCCTCCCCCCGGAAGAGGCGTCACGTGATAACGTTCACGAGCTGACGGAGCGAGTCCGTCAGGTCCACTTCGCTCGCCCAGATCACTGACGATGGAATTACGGCGAGAACGACCGACGATGGGGCCGCCGGGACCTTCATTCTCCGGGAATGATTCTCCTTCTGAATCTGCTGCGCATTTCTCCGGTTCCGAGGCTGGTTCTTCTCCTCGGACAGGGCTCCCGAGTACCACTTGATGCCCATCCAGTGGATGTTGACTTGCGGCAGCGTCGTGATCACTTGGAGTACTGCTTCGCGGGTAATGAACGAGCTCGTGTTGTTCAGATTGACCTGAAACGTCGCGAACTCCCCCATCTCGCTCAGCATGAAGATCTGGATCGATGGTCGTGCTTGGCCCGGCGTACGCCGGGCGTGGCACGTACACACCACATCATAGGCGCCGATCGCCCCAATCTCCTTGTTGTTGTCTTGCTCCTCAGATCTCCCCGCCACTCGTTGCCTCTTCGGATGGGACTCCATCGCCGTCGCCTCCGAGGATCCACGTCCTTGCGTCTGCCTTTCCTGAAACACAACCAACAATAATTAACAGATGAAGATTGACTAGAGAAAATAACTATTCTAAACAGTAATTTCTAACTGAAGAAGAAGAGAACTAGAAAGAATTCTTTTTAGCAGATGAAGTTAACTGACGGTCACCTCACCTTCTTACGGATCGGAAAATCGATCAAACCACTCGTTGCCATGCCTACACACGGACTGACCTGTGATGCGGAAGATCTCCCTATTTATAGCTGCACGGTGCCTCTTGTAGAGTCCCCACCAGACTTCTGGTGTGATGATGCCCGGCGGCTCCTGGACCTTCCAGCTGCCGCCACGGTCGCCACGGCTCCTGACCTCCATATTGAATTCGAAGGTCTTGGTGCGAGACTGGATGGCGTCCCGATCACCATCGGGCAGGAAACCGCCAAGCCTGTTGTTGGTCGACGCGAAAATGGGCACACGTCCAAGCACCTCGGGAGTATTCTGATATTTGACAGCAACATGCATGACTTCTCCACCAAGGAGCTTTTTAAAGTCATCCTTGCTTGCACTCGGAGATCGTCATCTCCTCCATGACGCCGACATGGGAGTTGAGGAGCTGCGCCAGGTAGAATGGTGAGTTGGCGTTCATCGCCGACAGTCGAGTTGGCTCTCTCAGCTTCAGAAGGCTATCCAAGATCAGCGTCTTCCCCGATGTCGTCTTCCCGTAGAGAAGTAGGGTGTTGACCTTGGTCAACATCTGATCTGCAATGATCTCCACCCAGGCCAGGAAGGTGGGCACACTGACCTTATTCTTTTTGAACAACACGGTGATCCACAGCTCCTTGTCGGTCATGGGGTGCGTGACGTCATCGAGGTATTCGTTGAAAAACGTCTCCCAGTACCGTTCTCCCTTGAGCTTCATCATCTTCTGCGTCGACCTGTACTCGATAATGGTACGAGCACGCTCCTTAAAGCTAGTCGTGATACCATACAGAGCCTTAAACCCGTCAAAGTTGATCACTTTCATGAATTGAGCCAGAGAACCGACCTGGTACCGGTCACAGAGCGTGTTGATATAGTCGACTTCCGACTCTGCTGGCGCTGCTCTCTTGCGACGGTTCCGGGCTCCTTCAGCACTGGAATGATTTTTGTCCCCAAGGTTGGGAACACAGTCCTGGGGCAGGGCTCCATCGACTTGGTCAGATCCACAGTTCACAAGGTACTGCAGCACACGCTTGCAGAACTTCATTGCTGCGTGCGTTGGATTACAAACAGCGATTTGACCCACTCCGTACCTGGCAAGATACACCATCCATCTGGTAATTGACCTGACAACCTGGTACGTAAGTCCGAGTCTGTCAATGTCATGTTTGCTGAGTCCAAGACGTTGTCCGATCCACTTGAGGGTCCGCCATTTGTTGCTTCCAGGATCTGCGAACGTAATGTGCGAGTGGCCAGGTCTTCCTGGTTCACCTGCATGGTAAGCCACTGTTCCAGACCATCTGGTGCCTCCAAAGCGGTCTCTAACGTCGCCGTCGACGACGACGGTTGCGCAGTTGTAATTCCACTCCCTCTCCTCTCGGACGTAGCTGGCAAGGTCTCCGAAGAGCTCGTCATCTCCCTCTGCGGACTCGCCATCGTCGCCTGGAACATCTGCGGGCTCTTCAGCGACACTTCCCCCGCCCACAGGACGCTCTCCGGCACCAGAGGCACCGTCAACTGCACTTGTCGTACCTTGTTCCTTCGGGCAAAGTTCTCCTTCAAAATCTGTGTCACATCCCTCAGACTGCTCGGCTGGTAGGACTCCAGGCCCAGGTTGCCCGAGAACCATCTCACCTGTAACCAGTGCACGTTCATGCCTGGTAAGATGCTGACCAGTTGCACCAAGGCTTCCCTCGTCACAAACGAGCTCACGTTGTTTACATTCATCTGCCACGTCTCGTAGTTGTTGGCCTGGTTCAGCAGGAACAGCTGGATCGACGGGTCCGCCACCTCCAGCTGCTCCGGAGGTGGTACCGGTAATAAGGTCCTCAGGGAGGAGAGGATGTTGCTCCCAACTGTCGTCGAGAAACATATCCCGTAGGTCCGCTGGTGTAGAAGAATACTCGGGTGCGAACCCGCCTTCTTGTAGTAGATCGGTGTCGCCAAGTGCACCGGATACTTGGTGATGAGATTCATCCTGTAACAATTTTTCACAGCGGTGTTGAGGGTAAGGAGTGCACGTCGATTCTGACTGATTGCGACTCCAGTGGAATTTATAACTTGAAGGGTTCCGTTAAAAGTGTGGGCCATTGCCATCTCCTTTGCATTGATAATTTGCGCATTTTCAGTTAGATGCTTAATGTATGTTTCTGTTGCGGTTCCAAATAAGTAAGACATTATACTGCCTACGCCATTGATCAACGCGCGCTTTGCGCGTTTCGTTTTAATGTCCGATGGGTTGAGAATGCCCATAAACGCGTGAGGGAGGTCCGATTCTTCGCGCTTCAGCTGTTTCACTGATTGGGATATGCGAATCCACCAACCCATACGCTTATATATATATATATATATATATATATATATATATATATATATTATTTAGTACTACACCCTCCCGTCACGACAGCCGCAGCAATATTGTCCTGTGATCGCGTTCACTTGAGCATTTATCGCCGTCTTGTGCCGGAGGTAGAGCTCCCACCACACTGCCGGAGTGATGACACTCTTTGGGGCAATCAGATGAGCAAGCCCCGACCTGTCGCCCCTGGTGGCGATCTCCACGTTGAACCGGAACGTTTTCCTCCGACTCTGGATCACCTCCCGATCGGCGTCGCCACCATATCCTGCTGGGACATCGTTAGTCGAGGCGAGCACCGGCAAACGCCTCAGTTCCTCTGACCCTGTCTGATATTTTACAGTGGCATGCATGACCTCACCACCAAGCAACTTCTTAAAGTCGTCTTGATTTCCATCAGAGATGGTCAGCTCCTCCATAATGGCCAGATGACTCTCCAACAGCTGCGACAAATAGAACCGGCTGGCGTTGTTCATGTTAGACAACCTGGTCGGCTTCTTCAGCTCAAGCAAACTCTGTAAAACGAGCGCTTACCAATAGTCGTGCGCCCGAACAACAACAGAGTATTTACCTTGGTCAGCTTGCGATCAGCGATCGCCTCAACCCACGCCAAGAAGTGAGCCAAATCGATCCTATTCTTCCTGATTATTCTTAGTAATCCATGCTACTTCGTCAGACAACGGATGAGCGTTCAGGTCGAGGCATTCATCGTAGAACACCTCCCAAACCTCCCAAAAAGCCTCCAGAAGCGGTTTTGACCCCAGCATTTCCATCTTCTTCACCTCGTAGAAAGATATGGTCGTTTTCACACGATCATTTAAGTTGGCAGTCAGCGAGTACAACAGCTTAAACTCGTCAGGACTCAGCTTTCGCACAAGTTGAGACACGCTCTCTGCCTTATATGATAAAAGTATGATAAAAGTGGTTTGGGTTACACCTGTGAATGTTTCCTCTGTTACATCAGGCCCAGTGCATCAAGATGCAAGCCATATTCGACCCAAACTAACCAAGATGACAGAGTTTTAAATGGTTTAGTTGTGCATGCACAAAATCCACAAGCTCAGTCCTCCCCACACGTTTCTCCACCGCACTTTTAGTGCGTTGATATCGGTCTTGAAAAGACAACAGCAGTTTTCGTGAGGTAATGCGCTCCTAAAGTAATGTCTTTTTTAGCATAACCTTTCCACCTACTGCGACAGGTTAATCGTCTTCATGTCTTCTTTTTTGCTTCAAACCGGTCACAAAATTGGGCCGTCTGGAACTTGACCTAAAAAGTAAGATAAAAGCAAGGCGGCACAGCCAAGTGGTGCAGCACAACAAACGTCCTATCATTATTCGCCCATGCTAGTAGCTGAAAATCCATGCTGTGATCTGCTGATAACGTACTCGACAGTGCCTATTACCTTGGAAGACCACATAACGTTCAGTAACCGCCGTTCGTTGTTTCCACCCAATTATAATACCGTTTCCAGATGGGATATATTTGAAACAACACGTGAACCAACCGTTCTCGTGTGTCGAGTGACGCACCACAGATGTATGTGACAGCGGGAAGACAATCGTCCAACTTGCGCGATATCACCCACTGATGCCACCTACACACCGACAGGTTGCAGATGCCCATGAGGTCCAGTCGCACAGCACGGGCCGCTTCTCGCCGTGGCATCTGCCGGGGAAGCTCCACAACTCGCCGGGCGCTGGCGTGCCTCTCTTCCGCCCGCCTCCGCTGCTGTGGGCACCACAGGCGCGGACCCAAACGTGCCGCTGTCGGCGCCGTAAGTCGGCGCTGACCAACCGGAGCCTCGGAGATGGCCGCCCCTCAGATACCGACCGCCTACGTCTCCTTCCGAGTGACCAGAAGTGCTGTGGCCGAG